CGTCTGACCCCTCTACCCCTTCCCATGCTTCACATACATACCGTCTGACCTCCATCTACCGCTTCCCATGCTTCACATACATATCGTCTGACCTCCTTCCCCCATTCCCGTGTCCTGGCGTAGGCCTGTGTTGTGCCTCTGTTCCGTTGTATGCGAATGATTGTGCGCCCATGCGCTACCGAGGGGCGTTTGGCACTTTACATCAGATCCACATCAACACCGGCATTGTCATCGCGGCTGCGTTGGGTATGTGATCTGGGTTGTACTGGCTGTAGCCTGTGCTTAATCAGACATAGATAGCACAGCTGAGCCTGTACAAAGCATGTTTACGTTCCATCCAGTGTCACATCAGCTTCGCATGCGATGTGGGGGATGTGAGATAGGTGTTGTGTGTAGATTGGCTGTATGGAGGGCACGAGTGTAAGTGTGTGGTGCTGGCTTCACATGCACACATGCATGTACCCGCAAGCAACTGTATCTGTGATAGGTCATACTACCTTCGAGTTGGATAGGTACACCTGTGTGACACTGTAAATAGGCGCGCCTATGTATCGCAGGCCTACGGTTTCTTGCGCCTATACTGCTCCGCCCATACTGCTCCGCCCATACATACATACACCCACCACTCGCAAATACCTACAAGCAGCTAGCTGCATCTAACTATAGTAGAAAAAAGTAGCTGCACCTATCTATAGTGCAAGTATCTGCAATGTCTCACCCGCACCCACTCCCGCAGGCATGGACTCTGTCGTGGGCACCCCTGAGCTGTGGTACCTCCTGTGGGGGTTGCCTGTGGTACTATCTGTACTACACGCTGTTCTGATGTTCTGGCTGCCGGACTCGCCACAGTCACTGTACGACCACGGCAAGCCACAGAGGGCGCAGCACGCACTGCAGCAGATACGGGGCCACAAGTACGATACACAGGTGGAGATGAGCGAACTGGCCAGGAACCACCGGATCAAAGAGGATACGGTGGGTGTGCATGAGATGAATGGGAGGGTGTGCATGGGAGATGAATGGGAGGGTG